CAACTCCAGTGGCTGGAGAATTCTGGGAGTTGAAGTCCACACATCTTCAAGTGGCCAAGGTTGAGGAACCCTGGTTTAGAGGATGTAAAAATGGGGAAGGCTGATCAGTCTGCTGCTAAGACTTGTTGTTACTGTCACTCTTCCATGCTTTTTATCTCACTATAGCTGGTAAACAACATAATTAGATTGTGGTGTCAAGCCTATGGTTTCTACTACTCTTTGGAAAAACGAGTGAATAAAATATTATCTAACTAAATTTGACAAAAAGCTCCTCTGCAATCCCTTGTTTTCTGTATTGTTCACAATTTAATCAGTGGAGACACTCTCATCAGATCCTGTTCCCTATAGATCCTGTTCTCGATAGTTAGATATGGTTTAAGATTCTCCTCTCTTTAATGTATGCAATAATCTTCACTGATTAAGAAGCCAAAAAGACATGTGTTCGTCAAGTAATTGTTATGTATATAGTTCTGTGAAAAAGAAATTGCCCTTTTTTTAAAATTTGCAAATGTTTGCCACTAAATACCATTAGAGAACTTCGTGTGGATCCTACTGATACATAAATGGAGTCTGAATGAACAAGCAAAGTTTGGTACTTATTCCTTTTATTTCAAAAACAAAGTCATCCAGCAATGGCAAAGATATTAAAAAATCAGAAAATCCAAAAGGGGACAAATATTTTAATAGAGAACTATAAAATCTATATTTTGAATTACATGTATGTTTAACAGCTGCAGTTAAATGGCTGGCTGGTCATTGTGTGATTCTAAAAAAGTCACATATGCTCATTTATACAAAGGTGAATTAGTGACATTTTCCATTCTATTTTTAAAATGTGTATCTAGCTTTTCTATCAAAAATAATGCTCATGTATATTTGGCCTTTGAATTGGTTTTGATTCCTGGCAACTTTATGGACTAGTCCCTGTAGTTTTCTTGACAAGTTTTTCAGAAGTGGTTTGGGCTGCGAGAGAGAGCCTGGCTGTGTGCCTAAGGTGGGGCTAGAACTCACGGTCTCCTTGAGCTACTCTACCAAACTGGTTTTCATAAATAAAATGCAAATACTACAGTGAACAAATAAGGGCATTTGAAGTCTAATTCATCAATAAGCTAGATGTATTCCTGAAGCTACTCTGAAGCATAATGCAGCCCAGTAGGGTGAAATGAAATGGAAGCGCTTGTTTCTCTCCAGCTCTGGAGCCACTGGGTTTGGAGCCCCACCTACCACTGTTATGCTTCTGGAGAGTTTCCAAGATTAGGATTTCCTGATCTTCAAAAGAGTATTCCAAGTTTGGAGGCGGACACAGAAATAGCAGTCACTCCAAGCCGCACTGATAGATTCAGAGGTCATAAGCAGCAGAAGAAAAAATGATTTCTGCTATGGAAGTAGCCTGGCTTTTCATGATGGAGAACTGCAGAGCCTAGGCCAGTGTTTCTCAACCTTGGCAACTTTAAGATGTGTGGACTTCAACTCCCAGAATTCCCCAGCCAGAGAAACACTGGCTTAGGAGGAGGCACCAAGAATTTCAAATGCAGATATTCCTAGAGTCCCTGAGGAAGGAGCTTAAATTACAACAATTACATTTGAAATATTGTGTGATTGCATTCTTAACTGGATACACTCAAAAGGGGCCTACTATAATTGGAATGTATTTCTGTGATTGTGACTTTTGCTATCTCCTTGGTGGCTTAGTGTAGTTGGTGAATAATTTCTCAATGAGCAGTAAGGGGAAGGAAAACATACTTATATTGGAAACTGGGAGGAGTATGGTTTCCTAAAACACACTTAGAATGTGATGGTAATTTGCGAAGTCATTTTTTTCCATTCCTTCCTATTAAAAATGGGAAGATTCAGTGGATGGCTCCCAGTATTACCCAACAAAAGGCATGGTGCAATTGGTTACTTCCACCCAGTCTGTCTAATGTGCAATCTGCATAGCTCATTATGCTAATTTCACAGGCCTCCTCATGCTGAGTCACTGGTTCATACCGATTCACTGAAACGTTTAACAGAAATGCATTGTATAGAGTGTTGCAGCCACAAAACCGAAAAAGCAATTATCATAGAACAAAGGGAGATCCAGGTAAACCAAATCTAGCAATGCAATTCTGTCTTTCCTTTAGCTGACGTAAGGAACAAAAGACCAGAAGTGATTGGAAAGTATGGATTAGGGTTATAAATGGAAGACAGGGCAATTCCTCTCCCTCAGCCCAACTGACCTCACAGAGTTGCTGCAGAGAAAAATAGGAGCAAGCACTAAATACACTCCCTTGAGATTCTGAACGAAAGGCAGAATATAAATCTAATATAATTCCGATGAATAAATAAAGGTCACTTGACATTTTTCTCTGCAATTTGGGGAATGAGTAAGGTGACTATGTGATTTAAAACAAAACAAAGATAATCCAAAAGGCTTTTCAGTAGAAGGAAATGCAGTCTCCTTTTGGAAAGAAGGGAAAGAGCACACTTTAACCTGGGAGGCCTCTCTCTTGGAAATCAGTCTGCTGCTCCCCGGACTGTTTATTCTCCATGCCTTCATTTGTATTTGCAAATAAATACTACAAAAACCCTCATAAATCTCACATCCAAAAGAAAGCTTTATCCCACTTAGAACCTCTTGCTAACTGGGGAAACTGGAGTATGTAACAGCCAATTGATGAGGTCGTCGGCAAAGACTATCCGGATGAACGGGGAAAGCTGAAGAAACAAAAAATACGCGCAGGACGGTTTCCAGCCTCTCGGCTCAGATCAAGGGTAGTATATAAAGAACTATTATGCTGTCTTTGCCCGACCCAGGCGGGTCGGTGACTCAACCTTCTGCGCTTGCACAACACGTGCGGCTAAAGCCGGGTTGCCTAAATAACGTCCTCTCTGTGGCGCGGTTTTCTGCGCTCGGCGTCTCCTTTTGATCAGCTTTTCCCAGCGGCAGCACGTGATTTTGCTCCTTCTCTGCAGCGCAACGCCTGGCCGTGGGAAGAGGAGGACCCCAAGCGACCGCTCCTGGTTAGGAGATCGCTTTGAAAAGAGCGCGCTTAGCCTTACGACCACCCAGTCAAGCTACTGACAGCCGCCGTACAGCTCCGGGCAAGCGGCTGAAGCCTCGAGAGCAGCCGCATGAAAACCCTTCACGGGCGGGGCCAGCAAGAGAGCAACGATATCCCCGCCTCCTTCCGAGACGGAGCTTGTTTCTCTCTTGCAAGTCTGCCGGGGAGTGACTGACGACGCAGCCAATCAGAGAGGCTGGGGGAGTTATGCCGGTCTCGAGATAACGTAAGAAGTAACACGACCGGGGGGGGGGAGTTAACCCTTTCGTCCCGGGCGAGGGAGGAGGTGG